GCAAATCCCGCCATGCATCTGTCTCTGGGAGTCATGCCCGTGGCAAAGTTTTGCAATCCCTAATGTGATTTGTAGTTGCACCTCAGCTGGAGGGCCAGAATTTGCATACCCCTGCTATAGGGGGATAGGCCATATGTAGTGATATGGGTCCTCCTTGACCCTCATCGGGCAGCATGCATAGAAGGCTTTCATATAGGAACGTTTGGAGGATACAGATTCTTCAATTTGTATTTTATAAATGAACAGACATTGGTGACAGCACAGCAACTAGCTCCATTGACTGGAACTACAAATCCCAGCACATCTCTGATATTAAACACACCCTGTCTAAACTCTAATAGTGAATTTGTACGCTGTTGTTATTTGACGTTGGATCAGAACGAGGACAACCGGGCCACTCTGTACAGGATCCTGTCCAGCGTTCCCTGATAACAAATTGCCTCATTGTGTATGTCCTCAAATCAGAAGCTGAATCTGGCTGAGGGCATTGTGATGTGCGGGGAGTCGGGGGAATGGATCCGGACAGACAGCTTTCTGGTTTTCCTGCTGGGTGGAGGGTTTTATCTGCAGAAGGAAATGGATGAGCAAAATCACTTACCCTTTTCCTATCTGAGATATATACAGCGTGTGTGTGTGCGTGTGTACCGTATGTATGTATGTATGTATGTAGAAGGGATTTGAAGGGATTACTCTCACAGAGTCCTCCCAGAATAATTAGTGTTAAAGGAGAACTATGGGGTTAAGTCTTTTCCCCATAGTTCTCCTTAGAGGACACAAACTAGCGTCTTCCCGTCACCCTAGGCTCAGTATATAGGGAGCTGTAGCTCGCGGTATACTGATACGCCGCAGCCGGAGCGGATCTCGACAATTGTGCCGGGATCCGCCCAGCTGCGTGACTGACAGCTGGCTCTGCCTATCTAGAGGCAGAGCCAGCTGTACCCGCCCCCGTCTGATCCGCCAGTCAGCGCTGGCGGATCGGAGCGGGGAATCCAGCCCCTCCCCTGTCATGGCAGAGAGCCGTGACAGGATCGAGAAGTGAGCGAAAGCCGGTATGTGTTCGCTCCCCTCCCGATCTACTGAGCCGACCTGTGACAGCCTCATTGTCACAGGTCGGCTCTGACTATGAGGTGAGTGAAAAGTTCTCACCTCATAGCTCTCCTTTAAGCGTTCCATGTACTGACAGGAGCACGCTTTGCGTGCTTGGGCTGATTTTCCTGACAGGTTTTTCATTCTTCCGTGACAGGTCCACATAAAGGCAAACATGGCCACCGCCGTCGAGTGTGAGACTTTGTACACCGGTCAGAAGATTCCGCTCATTGGACTTGGCACGTGGAAAAGTGCGCCTGGCCAGGTAAGATGTTCGATAAGCTTCCGGCCCCAAGAAACCCCTCATGTAAAAGGAGAACCTCCCATCTCCACAAACCGTCATGCCGGAGAAGATTTATTGCCTTAAATCCCACTTTGAAAATTGCCTTCCCAAGATCCTTTGTGCCACGTCAGAATTGTCAACACTGGTCATCAGAGGAGATCGGACTAACAATATACGTCAGAGACCTGTGACCTGCGAGAAGCAATTTGAGTCCAGGAGAGGGGCCGGTACAACTGTGCAAGACTGAAGGGGAGGACGGAGGTCAGATAGAAGAGTGAAAGGAAGGACGGAGGTCAGATAGAAGACTGAAGGGAAGGACGGAGGTCAGATATGAGACTGAAGGGGAGGACGAAGGTCAGATAGAAGACTGAAGGGACGGACGGAGGTCAGATAGAAGACTGAAGGGGAGGACGGAGGTCAGATAGAAGACTGAAGGGGAGGACGGAGGTCAGATCAGATAGAAGACTGAAGGGAAGGACGGACGTCAGATAGAAGACTGAAGGGGAGGACGGACTTTAGATAGAAGACTGAAGGGAAGGACGGAGATCAGATAGAAGACTGAAGGGGAGGACGGAGGTCAGATAGAAGACTGAAGGGAAGGACGGAGGTAAGTGAAGGGAAGGACGGAGGTCAGATAGAAGACTGAAGGGAAGGACGGAGGTCAGATAGAAGCCTGAAGGGGAGGACGGACACTTGATTTCTCTGCTAGAAAAGGGAAAGAAGGACAACCCTGTGTGTGCCCCTTCCCCTCATCAGCCAGGAAGAATATTACGGAGGGGTCCCGATGAAATGTGATGGAGAATGGCCAGACCCGGCCCGCTTCCAGGGATACAATGATCGCTCAGATAAAGAGACGGCATTTGGTTTTACAATGAGATCTGATTGTGGAAATGTTTCCTGTGTTCATTCACGGGGAGGACAGCCGGGAGCATCAAACAGACCTCAATAGAAGGTAATTCTGATCAATTACAAAGCAGGAGAATGATGTATCCGCAATGTGATCTGGGAGGAGACGCCTCCGATATTGAACACAACGTTTTACATCTCTGTCATCATTTTGTTGCCGTCTCTTCATTTATCTGGATGTCACTTATATGTGACGTCCGCGGGTCATTTCCACTTCTGAGACGAAGCCGCACCGATCCCGGGAACATACTTTGTGTGGTTTTCTTTCATCTACGAATAAATCTTTCCTCATTTATTGGATGGTATTGTGGGGCCGGCAGCTGTCCATGGCGGGGAAGACAATAGGTATTCAGTCCGTCTACTTCTCTTCTGAATAGATGAAAGAGTGTCACTGATGATTATAAATATGCAGATTAGAGAACCAGATCCCGTATGATGGATCTGTTCATCACTCTGGATTGTTTGTTTACATACTGTACATGTATTATGTACCTTGTAGAGGCTGAGTAGATGAGAGGGCCTCCCTTACACTTCCTGCCTAAATTGTTGAGAGGACTTCCTTTACAACTCCCGTCAGAGTTGAGTAGAGGGCTTCCTTTATACCTCCTGTCTGACTTGATGAGAGGACTTTCCTTGCACCTCCTGTCCAAGTTGAGGGGAGGACTTCCTTTAAACCGCCTGTCCAAGTTGAGGAGAGGATTTCCCTTACACCGCCTGTCCGAGTTGAGGGGAGGACTTCCCTTACACCGCCTGTCCGAGTTGAGGAGAGGACTTCCCTTAAACCGCCTGTCTGAGTTGAGGAGAGGGCTTCTCTTACACCTCCTGTCTGAGTTGAGGAGAGGGCTTCTCTTACACCTCCTGTCCGAGTTGAGGAGAGGATTTCCCTTACACCGCCTGTCCGAGTTGAGGGGAGGACTTCCCTTACACCGCCTGTCCGAGTTGAGGGGAGGACTTCCCTTACACCGCCTGTCCGAGTTGAGGAGAGGACTTCCCTTAAACCGCCTGTCTGAGTTGAGGAGAGGGCTTCTCTTACACCTCCTGTCCGAGTTGAGGAGAGGGCTTCCCTTACACCTCCTGTCCGAGTTGAGGAGAGGGCTTCCCTTACACCTCCAGTCAGAGTTGAGGAGAGGGCTTCTCTTACACCTCCGGTCCGATTTGAGGAGAGGGCTTCCCTTACACCTCCTGTCCGAGTTGAGGAGAGGGCTTCCCTTACACCTCCTGTCCGAGTTGAGGAGAGGGCTTCCCTTACACCTCCTGTCCGAGTTGAGGAGAGGGCTTCTCTTACACCTCCGGTCCGAGTTGAGGAGAGGGCTTCCCTTACACATCCAGTCTGAGTTGAGGAGAGGGCTTCTCTTACACCTCCGGTCCGATTTGAGGAGAGGGCTTCCCTTACACCTCCTGTCCGAGTTGAGGAGAGGGCTTCCCTTACACCTCCTATCCGAGATGATGAGAGGACTTCCCTTACACCTCCTGTCCGAGTTGAGGAGAGGGCTTCCCTTACACCTCCTGTCAGGATTGATGAGAGGGTTTCCCTTCTCACTTGGTCCCGTTAATTCTTACTTGCTATTATTTCTTTATATTTGGCTCTTCACAAATGACTTCCTTAGTAGCCACAGCGAGTATTATCCTTACAGCATTTGAGCATTATTATTTGGCCTTCATCATGACAGGTGAGAGACGCTGTGAAGTGCGCTCTCAGCGTTGGCTATCGGCACATAGACTGCGCGTCCGTGTATGGAAATGAAACTGAAGTTGGAGAAGCCATCAAGGAAAGCGTCGGTGATCAGGTAAAATGAATGCTCATAATTGCACTACAAACTGTTTTAGGATGTGTGGACTATGGGTTCATGGCCTATAAGACCAAAGGTTTGTGGACACCTGACCATCACACCTATATGAGCTTGTTGGACATCCCTTTGGAGAACCACTGTCCTTAATATGGCGTTGCGCCCCCTTTGAGGCTATAACAGCCTCCATGTTTCTGGGAAGGCATGCCACAAGATTTTGGAGGGTGTCTGTGGGAATTTGTATCCATTTGTGAGGTCAGGTACTGATGGGAAGATGTGGCTCACAACTGGGATTCCAATTCATCCCAGAGGTGTTTAGTACGGTTGAGGTCAGGGCTCTGTGCAGGACACTGGAGTTCCTCCACACAAAGCTGGTCACACCATGTCTTTATGGAGCTGGCTTTGTACATAGGGGACAGTCATGATGGAACAGAAATGGGCCCTCACCAAACCATTACCCCGGTTTGTGTCTTTTAGCACCCAAAGCAAAAAGCCCAAAGTGTGCCCCCCACCCAACAGTTGTGAACTACTTTAGCAGCATAGGTTGCAGGTCCGGCCCGTTTTTTAACCCCTTTTTGCTGAAGCATCCAAGGTGGTCACTTCTTCTACACACCCCTCACCCCGGCCTTGCTGTTATCACAAGTTTGGAAGTGCACAATTTATATAAAATGTCTTTGTATGATGTAGCATTACCAGTATCTTCTGTTAGTCCATCAATAGTCATGTTTCTATACATGTGTATTGTGTAACACGTCTCATTTGTTCCTGGCAGGGTCTGAAGAGAGAAGAGATCTTTGTTACCTCCAAGCTGTGGAACAACAAACATCACCCGGACGACGTAGAGGGGGCTCTGAGGAAGACCCTCTCTGACCTCCAGCTTTCCTACCTGGACCTCTATCTCATGCACTGGCCCTATGCCTTCAAGTGAGTGCAACGTCAATGAGGTGAGTGAAAAGCACCCCCCCCTCCCCCTCATAGTTCTCCTTTTTAAATATGCTTTTTATTGGTGTTATCAATGTTATATAAAATAAAGTTTAGAAAGAAAAGAAAAAAAAAACAACAACAGCCGGTTCAACATAACCCAGGATAAGAGAGTCCACAGGTAGAATACAGGTAGATGTATCGTCGGACATATCACTTGGCTGCAGTACACTCTTGGGAATGTAAGAGAGGACCAAGAACTCCGGGATAAAACAAAGCAGTTGTATTAGACAAGGAGAGCCGGGGATTCCAGATGTGAGCAAAGTAAGGGCGGGTTGCCCCGTTGCTCATATGTAAGTTTATATATAGGGGCAATGCCTGATCAACCAACCGCTTCGAACGCGCCCAGGGAGGGAACCTTAGGGCTGCTCCAGACTAGGAGAATAGAAGAGAAGAGTAGTGCCTGAGCATTGCAGGCTAATGGCAGTTCACCAAATAGACGCAGGAGGCAGAACGCAGGTTACAGATGTTGGGGAAACCGAGGCTGGCCTCCATGAAGGAAGTAACCTCCGTATGCGGAGGTCATCTTTAAATGTTACCCGGGGTCTCTCCAGCACAGCAGGTTTGAGATGTTTTACCTCGCGATCACATGAATGTTATTGTGTTGCAGGAGAGGAGATAACATCTTCCCACAGAACCTGAATGGGTCTCTGCAGTACGACTACACCGACTACAAGGACACATGGAAAGCAATGGAGAAGCTGGTGGAGAAAGGTCTGACCAAGGCGATCGGCCTGTCCAACTTCAACAAGAGACAGATTGATGATATTCTCAGCGTTGCCACCATAAAGCCGGCCGTACTGCAGGTATGAACGCCGCTGGGCACGCTGTCTGCGTAAACCTCCATCAACTGGTTTTTGTCTAAAGACTATTGAAATGTATTCTTTTATTTCCAGTCTTGCCTTTACAGTTTTAAACTCTTTGGTCTTGGGGGGATGCGGAGAGCAGTGCTGGTGTGATGACATCGGTGCCGATCTCTGCATCAATACACTCAGGGGGCGGGGCCATGACGCTCTGCACCTATGGGTCCTCAGGGTTGAGTGACGCTGGGTGACATTCAACCTGGACCGCTGAGGACATCTGGTGGTGATGAAGAGGTACTGCAGGGGACAGCTCAGGTGAGTATTGCAGCCTGATCTACCCCACAGAGGAACTCCCAGAGTTGGGTTAACAAGGTCCAGAGAAGGAAGAGATGGTGCATTGTAAAGTGTTTACTTTTTCTTCCTGATCGTAGGTGGAGTGTCACCCCTACCTGGCTCAGAACGAGCTCATCGCTCACTGCCGGGCCAACGGACTGGCCATTACCGGCTACAGCCCTCTGGGATCTCCGGACCGCAGCTGGAGGAAAGCAGAAGACCCGGTCCTGCTGGAGGAACCCGGCATCCTGGAGATGGCTAAGAAATACGGCAAATCAGAAGCTCAGATTCTTCTCAGGTACTTGTAGACAGGGCCGCTGTTAGAAATCATGGGGCCCCACACGGCCCAACTGACAGGGCTCCAAACCCAACCAAGAACCCCCACCAACGGTACTGCAATACCATGCGTTATGGTGGAGAAAAAGTAGTGCATACTGCATTCACCTTATATACCATGACAGCTGTGGGAGAGGAGCCTGAGCTTCACCGCCTGCTTCCAAGCTGAGCCCGGGCCCCCTTGCTGACCTGATGAGGCCGGGGCCCAGTATGGGAGGGCTGGCTGTACCCCTTCCCCCCCCCTATCAGCAGCCCTGCTTGTAGGACCTCAATGGCCTGACTGATGGATACATTCTGTGTACATTGTGTTAACAATGTAACACTTTCCTGTGTGGCTTCTGTCATATTTCAGTACAGAGAGCGGATTCCATAAGTCAACCAATCAGAATCCAGCGTTTAGTAGTTGGGGCGGGGCATATAATTGCATTTGATCACTGGCCGGTGATATCTACAGAGATCACAGAAATGGTGAAAACTTGGATTGTATCCCCAGATAATACAGATGTATTGTTAGATTTTCAGTCATTCCAGAATGATGAACTTACATTGAGAGAGAAGAATAGTTGGAGCCCATTCACACCACAGTACGGGCGTTCTCGTGCGCATTGGTACGCAGTTTGGTGTACGCATGGTGCAATGCATTGTGTAGACACATGGTGGCACTTTATTATTTTTCTTTCAATGTTATTTTCAGTCCCCGCTGTGCGTTGCAATGTTTACTGCGCGTCAGAACACGCTGTGCAAAACTTCAACGCATCTGTCGCCTTTGTTCCATCACATGTGTCCCTTATATGAGGGTTGCAAGTGCGTTTACTGTCTGTGTACTGGTGTACCATTGAAACACAATGACAACGCACCGCAAAGTATTCACACATGGCGTTGTCATTCTGTATGTAAGCAAGCTTTGTACATGCCAATAAGGGGTCTGTATGTAAACAATTCTGAGCCTGATGACCGGGACCCTGCGAGGCCCCGAAAGTACTTGCTTTTGGATGACATTGTCTGTCATTAAAATGAACATTTGCTGATTTTAACAGCTTGGTGTGCTGGTGACATCCTTTACAATTTGTATGTAAACAATTCACCCTGCGTGTGTGTATCTGTAAATGTTCATTTTGTGCAAATGAAAAAAACGAACGTTCTTCATATATTTCCTTTGCTGGTCGAATGTAATACTGCATTGTGGCCACTAGATGGAGCTGATTTTTTATTTCCTATGCTCCCCAGCTCCATCTAGTGGCCATAATGTGGTATTACATGACAATATGTTCAACCTGCAAAAGAAAACATATGAAGAACGTTCGTTTCTGTTATTATTTGTAGAAAATGATCGTTGACATATGTTCGCTGGGCAAAGGGCCCCGTGAATTGATTATGAATAGTAATGAAGGGGCCCGCAGACATTTAGGAGGTATTCATTCACATAAGGCCGCTTCCACATTGAACAATCCTGAGTCACAGTTCATTGAGCTTGTGTGTACACCTCGTACATGTCATGGTCACTCAGTATCCGTAACATTTGTATCTCTCCAGGTGGCAGGTGCAGCGGAAAGTGATCGTCATTCCAAAGAGTGTCACCCCGTCCCGAATCCTCCAGAATCTGCAGGTAATGCACATGGCTGAATGGACTGCATACCATACAACAATTAATTTAGTTTCACTTTGTGTAAAGCGTATCTACACCCAAGCACAAAAATGTTGCAGCTTTCCAGTCCTGCGGTGTGGCGGCTGCATTAGATTTATTTTTTCTTCTGTCTTTTTCCTCTTTATTTTCACACGGTGATCCTGCCACTAACACACTTCCTGTCCTTGGGTGACAACACTCACTGGCCACTCTATATCTATGGAGGAGCAGGCATTGGGTCTCTGTGCTTCTCAGTGCAATGCTGGGAGGGCATGGCTGGTGGGAGGGGCCAGCAAGGTGCTGTATATAGCTTCCTGAAAACATCACAGCACTCTGCCTGGGTACTGCCCTCCTCAGCCCTGATGCAAGCAGTGGGCAAGCTCTTGGGAGGAGTTATGCAAATACCACAATGCCTTGATGGGAGGGTGTCTGTCTGGAGGTGTGGCAGGTCCTAGGCAGGCCACATTTGCATACAGACTGCTCTAGGAGTTATGCCTGTTATTATTTGTGTTCAGTATAAAAAATATATATTCTATTATTTTTAATAAGCTTCAATATTTCATAAGAACATTTTATATTGGCCACCATGAGCTCCGAGCTATAAGATAAACCAGAGCAGCAGGAGAGATCAGATTACACACACAAGGAGGGACGCTAATCAAAACTGGAGCAGACAAAATCTGGAGCAGTAGCCCACGGCAACCCACCAGCTTCTCTCTCTCATTATTAAAGTTTACCTGATCAAGCTAAGGAGAGAAGCTGATTGGTTACTGTGGGAAACTGCTCCAGTTTTGATCAGGGACCCCCCAGTGACCCAGAGGAGGGGCAGACCCTCCGCCATCATGGATGCAGCCAGTGGTGGCCTTTTTATTCATTACAAAGTAAAGCGTGCTTTGCTGACTGTATACACCAGGGGCAGCCAAACTCCGTCCCTCCAGCTGTGGGTGGAACTACAAATCCCATGAAGCATTGCAAGATTCTCACAGCCACAGACATGACTCCCGGAGAGAGATGCATCATGGGATTTGTAGTCTCGCCACAGCTGGAGGGCCGGAGTTTGGCTACCCCTGGTATACACGGTGAGGGGAGCAGCTGTGCACGGCGACCAATCCGCTTCTCTTTTTCATTTTCTGATTGGTTGCCATGCAGAGCTGCTCAGTTTTGATAATATCCGCCCGCCCCCCTGTATGTAAAGTGTTTGTGTAGCCAGAAAATACTTTATTGTTATAATACTTATTATTACTAAACCATGGACTCACATAAAAGTCATCATTTCCTCCTTTGCGGTGTTGTTCTCCCTCTTCACTCCTTCATGTATAAAGCTTTAACCCTTCATATTGAATTCAGGGAACTCTCTTTTTTTTTTTATTAGGTGTTTGATTTCTGTCTGACGGAGGAGGAGATGCAGCAGATCGGGAGCCTGAACAAAGGATGGAGATACATTATCCCATTAATCACGGTAAACGCTCAGCGTGCAGATCAAAACTTGAAACATGTTATAAAAAATGGACGCTTCCTCTATTGTATGTGACAGGAACACATTAAACACATTGGGGCCTATTTGCAGCCAATTAATCTTTCTGTACGTTCGCTCTGTGCGAAGAGAAGTAAAACAATCGTTGTTACATGTAGTTTCTTTGCAGGCCAAATCTATGTGATGCAATACCACAATATGACCACTAGGTGGAGCTGAGGAGCACAGGAAACAAATACTTATATTATATGCTCCTCAGCTCCACCTAGTGGCCACAATTCAGCATTACATTACATACGTTTGACCTTGAATAGAAAATATACCGTACAGAAAGATCCGTAGGGTGAAAGGCTCTGCCAATTGGTTATAAACAGACCCCCCTAATACCCATTTATTTTACTTTTTATTGTCCACTATTTTTTTTTTTCTAACTGCCGACATCAAAGCCCCGATGAAGGGGGGGAGTATTAAAGGAGAACTATGGGGTAAGTGGTTTTTCCCCATAGTTCTCCTAAGGGTAACGGGAGGACATAAACTAGCGTCCTCCCGTGACCCAAAGCTGAGACCGCCGCAGCCTGGACGGATCCCGACATTACTGTCGAGATCCGCCCAGCTGCGTGATTGACAGCTGGCTTTGCCTATCCAGAGCCAGCTGTACCCGCCCCCTCCCCCGTCCGTTCCGCCAGTCAGCGCTGGAGGATCGTAGCGGGGAGCAATCCCTGCGGGGAGCCGTGAGTGACGGATCTCTGCAGGGAGATGATCATGAAGTGAGCGAGCGCCGGTATGTGTTCCCTCACCTCCCGATCTATTGGGCCGACCTGTGACAGTCTCATTGTCACGGGTCGGCTCGCACTATGAGGAGGAGTGATTTTCACTCACCTCATAGATCTCCTTTAAGCCCCCGAAATGTGTTGACTTCTTGTCGTGTGCAATAAAGATCTGTGGCGCTCTCGTTGCTTTTACTTCCTGCGTGGTCACCCAGACAGGAAGTGAATAGAGAGAAACCTCACAGAGGCTCCGCCCCTCCTCTATTCTTAGTGCTGGGTTTTCTCGGACGCACATACCGTGGGAGTATTACAACGTTGGTATCCACAGGGACGTCCCTCATCGGTTTTTTATCTTTTGCAGGTGGACGGAAAGTCGGTCCCCAGAGACGCCGGTCACCCCATGTACCCGTTCAGCGATCCCTACTAGTCATTTCAGAGCTGGACGGATGAAAACCAGAGTCACCTCGTGTCCACCACACTCCTCCTCCCGAGCTTCCACAACACTGGAGTGTCTATTCATATCAAAACAAGCGTGTGAATGTTTGAAGCAAAGCTGCGTGTACATTCGCTCTGATGTGAGAACGGGGCGAAATCGAATGTTCTCAAGGGGAATCCCTGTAAATTCTCTGCAAAGATAAAAAATTGCCAATACAGGGATCCCTATCGCAGCAACAGTTACATTTATCTGCTGATTCCCTCCGGTGTTCTGTCGAAATGTCCAACTCGTCGAGATCTGCAACTCGTAACGTCGCATGCGTTGGAGATTCCGAACGAGACGGCGCTAGTGCGCCGCCCCTCGGCATTTTAATAAAAACCTCGTCAACTTGCCCAATTGCCCTAAGTGCGCCATTGTGCGGCCTCGCAATCCTCATCGAGTTCTCCAACTGGCATCACTGCTTGTGCCATCGGATGCCCGGGCAGGCGCACTGACGGGAGTTGGAGATCCTGACAAGTTGGAGATCTCGATAGAACGCTGGGATTCTCTAGAATTGTTACATTGTATCTCTTCTGTGATGTATTATTTCCTGTCATCCTCGGCGCCCTCTAGTGGCCACACTGAGGTACTTTCGTCTTTACTTGGCCTTGGAACCTGTTTTTATGACTCTACTATAAGGAAGAACATTCCATGTTACCCGATTCTCACCACAGAACGAATGTACATTCAGTTTTCCTGGACATATGCAGACCCCTTGGTGTTCCCAGAAGCCTTTGCTGTTCTTCATTTTGTGCCTTTTACAGCTTTGTATTCTGTCTGTGCAATAAACGGGAGATCTTTGTATACAATACGATGTGTTACTGCTGATGCAAATCATATACCCCTCCCCCATAGGCATTCCTTAAAGGAGAACTATGAGGGGGGTGCTTTTCACTCAGCCTCATAATCTGAGCCGACCTGTGACGATGAGACTGTCACAGGTCGGCTCAGTAGATCGGGAGGTGAGGGAACACATACCGGCGTTCGCTCACCTCTCGATCCTGTGCCGTGACTGTCACTCACGGCTCCCTGCAGGGATTCCCCCCTCCCCCGTCCAATCCTCCAGCGCTGACTGGCGGAACGGACGGGGGAGGGTACAGCTGGCTCTGCCTCTAGATAGGCAGAGCCAGCTGTCACTCACGCAGCTGGGCGGATCCCGTCATCTACGTACCGGGGGCCCCATCCTCTGGCCCCTCCATTCTTGTATGGAGCAGTACATGGCTGCCGGTCATGTGAGCGTGTTGCCAGTGGAGGCTGACAGGAGGGACGGCAGCACGCGGAGCGGCTCGGGTAAGGTGGGCGGTGCGAGCGGAGGATCCCCCAGAATGGAGAGTGAGGAGGAGCTTGCACAATGTACTCTGTATGGGCTCCTCTGAGCCGGCTGCCATCCGCACGGCACTTCCAGGGCCACTGATGGGGGTCATGTCAGGTAGGCTGTACCGGGGGCCCCGCGACTTCCAATGGTATCCCTCAGACATGTGCGTTCGGACGAACCTGCAAATCAGCGAAAATCAGGTGATTCTGCGATTCGTCCGAATCCGAAATAACAAATTTATTATATGTCCAAATATCCCAAAACTTTATTCAGGAATACAAAAATTTGTTAGCGGAAGGAACGGCGGCCTCTATTGGCCGCCGTCAAGTTCTGCGTACGCACGCCGCCATCTTTGAGTGTATCCTGGTATACACAAAGATGGCGACTCCTGAACATACGGGTGCCGCCATCTTGGTGTATACCGAGATACAAAGATGGCGGCGCGCAAGTGTGACATCACGCGCTGAACGAGCGCACCGCCATCTTTGCATATACCATGATGCACTCAAAGATGGCGGCACGCGTGGCAGATCGCGCCAGAGGGCCGACATGGCCGCCGCTCGTTCTGCATTCTCAGTGAGCGAGCGGCCATCTTTGATGAGTGTATCATGGTATATACAAAGATGGCGGCGCGCAAGTGTGACATCACGCGCTGAACGAGCGCACCGCCATCTTTGCATATACCATGATGCACTCAAAGATGGCGGCGCGCGTGGCAGATCGCGCCAGAGGGCCGACATGGCCGCCGCTCGTTCTGCATTCTCAGTGAGCGAGCGGCCATCTTTGATGAGTGTATCATGGTATATACAAAGATGGCGGCGCCTAAACATACGGGCATCGCCATCTTTGAGTATACCAAGATAGACGCAAAGATGGCGGCGCGCTCGTTCAGCGTGTGACGCCACACTGAGAATGCAGAACTAGCGGCGGTCATGTCAGCCTCCGGCGCGTTCCGCCTTGCGTGCCGCCATCTTTGAGTGTATCATGGCATACACCAAGACGGTGGTGCCCGTGTGTTCAGGCGCCGCCATCTTTCTGTGCAAGCGCAGAACGCGCGCGGGGGGCGACGTGGCCGCCGCCCGTTCTGCATTCTCAGTGTGACGTCACACGTTGAACGAGCGCGCCGCCATCTTTGTATATACCATGATACACTCAAAGACGGCGGCGCCCAAAAAATTCACTCACCTCATAGTTCTAGCCGACCTGTGACAATGAGACTGTCACAGGTCGGCTCAGTAGATCGGGAGGTGAGGGAACACATACCGGCGTTCGCTCACCTCTCGATCCTGTGCCGTGACTGTCACTCACGGCTCCCTGCAGGGATTCCCCCCTCCCCCGTCCAATCCTCCAGCGCTGACTGGCGGAACGGACGGGGGAGGGTACAGCTGGCTCTGCCTCTAGATAGGCAGAGCCAGCTGTCACTCACGCAGCTGGGCGGATCCCGTCATCTACGTACCGGGGGCCCCATCCTCTGGCCCCTCCATTCTTGTATGGAGCAGTACATGGCTGCCGGTCATGTGAGCGTGTTGCCAGTGGAGGCTGACAGGAGGGACGGCAGCACGCGGAGCGGCTCGGGTAAGGTGGGCGGTGCGAGCGGAGGATCCCCCAGAATGGAGAGTGAGGAGGAGCTTGCACAATGTACTCTGTATGGGCTCCTCTGAGCCGGCTGCCATCCGCACGGCACTTCCAGGGCCACTGATGGGGGTCATGTCAGGTAGGCTGTACCGGGGGCCCCGCGACTTCCAATGGTATCCCTCAGACATGTGCGTTCGGACGAACCTGCAAATCAGCGAAAATCAGGTGATTCTGCGATTCGTCCGAATCCGAAATAACAAATTTATTATATGTCCAAATATCCCAAAACTTTATTCAGGAATACAAAAATTTGTTAGCGGAAGGAACGGCGGCCTCTATTGGCCGCCGTCAAGTTCTGCGTACGCACGCCGCCATCTTTGAGTGTATCCTGGTATACACAAAGATGGCGACTCCTGAACATACGGGTGCCGCCATCTTGGTGTATACCGAGATACAAAGATGGCGGCGCGCAAGTGTGACATCACGCGCTGAACGAGCGCACCGCCATCTTTGCATATACCATGATGCACTCAAAGATGGCGGCGCGCAAGTGTGACATCACGCGCTGAACGAGCGCACCGCCATCTTTGCATATACCATGATGCACTCAAAGATGGCGGCACGCGTGGCAGATCGCGCCAGAGGGCCGACATGGCCGCCGCTCGTTCTGCATTCTCAGTGAGCGAGCGGCCATCTTTGATGAGTGTATCATGGTATATACAAAGATGGCGGCGCGCGTGGCAGATCGCGCCAGAGGGCCGACATGGCCGCCGCTCGTTCTGCATTCTCAGTGAGCGAGCGGCCATCTTTGATGAGTGTATCATGGTATATACAAAGATGGCGGCGCCTAAACATACGGGCATCGCCATCTTTGAGTATACCAAGATAGACGCAAAGATGGCGGCGCGCTCGTTCAGCGTGTGACGCCACACTGAGAATGCAGAACTAGCGGCGGTCATGTCAGCCTCCGGCGCGTTCCGCCTTGCGTGCCGCCATCTTTGAGTGTATCATGGCATACACCAAGACGGTGGTGCCCGTGTGTTCAGGCGCCGCCATCTTTCTGTGCAAGCGCAGAACGCGCGCGGGGGGCGACGTGGCCGCCGCCCGTTCTGCATTCTCAGTGTGACGTCACACGTTGAACGAGCGCGCCGCCATCTTTGTATATACCATGATACACTCAAAGACGGCGGCGCCCAAGGCGGAACGCGCCGGAGGCTGCCATGGCCGCCGCTCGTGCTGCATTCGCAGCGCGCGGTTGCGGAGGCTCGGTGCATTAAAAATGTGTTTTCCTTCATGAAACGTTTTTGGCGCGCTCATGTCCGGTGTCCCTGTGGTGGCTCAGAGGAGCCGGAGAGCAAAGGACGTGTCACCGGTGTGATGATGATCACTAGCAGTGGAGAGAGCAAGCGGGGTAAGGAGAACTGCGGGCACTGAAAAGGGTGGTCTCACTCCTCCTGCAGCCGCACACGTGACTACACAGATCAGATCCTCGCCATTGCTGTGATGTATTAGACCAGGCGTAGCCAAACTCCGGCCCTCCAGCTGCGGCCTCTATCTGACCTGCTGCAGCCTCTAATGCACATTGTGAGGAGCTCCCAGCGTGCAGTCAGAGGAGCCGGAACCACTCTGCAAGACTGAAGGGGAGGACGGAGGTCAGATAGAAGGCTGAAGGGAAGGACGGAGGTCAGATAGAAGACTGAAGGGGAGGACGGAGGTCAGATAGAAGACTGAAGGGACGGCCAGCAGTACTCATCCGCTCTCCAATGCTCTCCTCTGCAGTACTTCTTCACCACAAGATGTCCTCAGTCTTCTGTGTTGAGGGAAGTTGGGTGCCATATAACCTGGAAGACTGAGGACACACTGTGAGTGCGGACTGTCATGTCACCTGCGGTGGGAATGTTGACTCCAGTGCGCTCTCGGCATCATGAAGGATTGCACAATTCCGGGAGAGGATCGGGGGAGGGTTCTGCACATCACATGACTGGTTAAGACATCTGACCTCGCATAGCTTCCTTTGGGCTCTTTTGGACATACAATGAACGTCTGCATGGACTTATGAATCGTGTAGCACGTGGCCTACCCGCATCCTGTTGTATTGTATTGTGACACGTTCGCTTTAAGAGGCTATAGTCCCCGAACGCAAGGACCCGCCCAGTCACGTGCTCAGGATCCCCAATCACGTGACCCACAGACAATAGAGCTGTGAGCGCGGGAAACAGAGCTGAGGTCAGGGGGTGAGCGGAAGCTGGGAGGCGTGGCTAGAGGGGGAAGGCTGGTATAAGAAGGGCTCCCGGCGCGGGGGATACAAGCTGCCATCTTCTCTCTTCACTCAGCGGGCTCCCTTGCAAGCAAAGAACGTCCAAGCATGGCCGAGGAGACAGTGCCAGTCCCAGTGGAGGCCGAGAAGTAAGCCGGGGGGATGTTTGTGGGGGCGTATAAGGCAGCCTGGAGCGGCAGGGAGATACCGGAGGAGCTCGTTTGGTGTTCGGGTTCACCGGTGGCTCTGTTAGCGCTTACCGCAGCAGTCACCGGCAGTGTGGGGGACTGGGCGGGGCTCCGGGTTCTCCTGGTAACAGAGGGGGGCAGCGCGGTTTTCTATTGGCTGCTGCCTGCAAGTCCGCCGGCAGCTCGGCTGCTCATTGGCTGAGGGGAAGGCA